ATCTTTCTTCTCACTGTGATACACCCCTTGAATGTTTAATACTGTGAGCTGCAAGGGAATCATGAAGGGACAGTAAGTCGATAGGAGCCTCCTAGAAAGGCAATTGGTTGGATGTAAAGGTTAGTGCAAGCTTTTGAACATAGATGCTCAACTAAGATATGGCAGAAAATAAGCAAGATTAACACACAGGAGAAAGACTAGAAGTAGAGATGTAGAAGGAAAATAAAGAAGAGAAAGGAGAGGGAGAAGCAGAAAGGAGTGACTTTGCTTGCCCCTGTTCATAAATTGAGACTCTAGCTATCATGTCACTTATGCAGAATGTCAATGGCTCCCAAGTGAAGGTCATACCCTCACCAAGCACTGGGGACCTTTTTCAGAATTAGGAGGAAGGGGAGTTGATAGTGTTTATGCTCATCCATCCTAATAAATATGCACTTATTGAGCATTTACTATGTGTCAGGTACTGTTGTGAGACCTTTATGTGTATAAATTCATTTAATCTTCTCAACAACCCTACAAGTACCATTATCATAGCCACTTAAGATAAAGACATGAAAGCACAAAGAGGTTAAGCAATATGCCCAAAGTACAGTTAGTAAGTGGCAGAACCAAGATTTGAACCCCAGTGATCTGACTCATTTGTCTATTAAGCACTCAATATCCTCAAAATAAAAATGTTAGCACATTAGTGTTTAAATTCTAAGTGTAATTCCAAAATTACTCCCTTTCTCTTGTCTTGCAAAATAATATTCTTAACTGCCCTAGCAATGCTGGGGACAACTGGTCTGTGAATAGTTATTATCCCCATTTTAGAGATGAGGAAATTGAGGCTCAGAGTTTAAAAATTTTCCCAAAGCCATACAGCTAGTTAATGGCAGTGTCAGGATTTAAACTCATGACTATAGCATCCATAATGCTTATAGTTGGAGGTAATTTAAAACACCAGTTGTATTATTTGGCGGGGGAGAAACAGTAGAAATCCACTATTCTCTAGTGTCTTCTTCTAGGAAACCAGATAATTCTACAGCTAAAATTTTTTGGCTAATTTATTTAAATACTATTTGAACTTTTAGAATAAATGTCAGAGAAAATGGGACAGTCCTTGCCAGCCACCTTCTTTGGAGTTACACCTTACAAATATCATCCAAATGTTAGGTGTTTCCTTAAAAGAAAAAAAAAATAATAGCTGCTGTGCTCACCGCAAAGGGTTATTACTTGGATCAGAAGAAACATAAATGTGATCTGTCATATATTAAAGGATATTATACAAATATATTGAAGAAAGTCTGATGTCCCAAATCTGCCCCTTGTAGACAGGTGGTCTTATTAATAAAACATAGAATAAATTTACCACATGTAAAATTGCTTGAAGGACAAATGGGTAATAATTTCCAGGTGAAAGCATGTGGCAAAATGTTTTATATAATGGAGACCTAGATGTGTTTGTGACAAAATAAATGTTGGCCCTTTCTAAAAGTACTTTTCTTGTGTGTCCATAATTTAACATTAAGCTATTATTCACCTCACAGATAATAAAACAAAAAATGCACTTAGCATATTAGATGGGAAATAACTTCGACAAAGCACTACAATCAACGGATTCTGACAATCTTTGCTCTGAGAGGAGCTTTTTGAGGATATCTTTTCTAATTTCCTGGTTTCTAAAGTGAGGAAACCAAATTCTCCATCTCAGTCTCTCTGTGGCAGAGTTAGTACTATTGAGATCCTTCAGGGCTTTTTACTGCACAGAATCTGGTAATCCACAAGCCCTGGAGGCCAGATGGGGTGGGAGGTATAAGCCAGTACTGTAGCTCATGATGGCACTTCACCAACCCTGAGGAGGGTATGAACTGTTCTCTCTGAACATTCTCTTCCAAAGCCCAAGTAGAAAGAGAATTGGCAAGTGTGGCTGTGGCAACACATAACAATTTAACCTTCTTAGAGGGAGAGAGGGACAAGTGGTAAAGGATCAGCATACCACTATTGTTACTTTCTTGAAAAGCCATTACCATGTTACACACTACCATACCTTGACAACAGCTGTCAGATTAGAGTAGGTGAACAGACCCTGATGGTGTGATTTGGATCTTTTAGGCTAAACAACCCCAAAAAAACTGTTACTTAATACCTTCTCTTTCTCAGCTAGCAGAGTTCTTTAAAATATATTACTGAATCACAGAAACTTGGAAATGGAAAGGAACTAAGAAATCACTAATACCAATAATAAATAGATAAGGAAGTAGGTCCAAGGTCAGTAGAGCAAGGGTTAGAAATCGAGGCTTGTGACTTGAGATTCGCTCAAGAAGTTGACCTGCTGTCTTATCCTAAAATGCCTAACAGTTTTATCCTAAAATGCTTAATCCATCGATCATTAAGTAGAGAATGACCATCTATTATGTGCCACCTGGGAGCTTTCTTTTTTTTTTTGGAGACAGAGTCTCACTCTGTTGTCCTGAGTAGAGTGCTGTGGTGTCAGCCTAGCTCACCGCAATCTCAAACTCCTAGGCTCAAGCAATCCTCCCACATCAGTCTTCCAGAGTGCTAGGATTACAGGCGTGAGCCACTGTGGCTGGCCAGAGCTTTCTTTCTAATCAGAGACAAGACTAGCAAACATTAAATATAAAATTGAGTAAGCTGGCAAATCATTAAAGCTACCTAGATAGGCACAGTTCAGATAAAACCACTGATGGCTGGAAAGGTTAGTGAGGTTTCACAGTGATAGGATTTGAGGTAGGCTTTAAAGCAGAGCTTGTGAACTAGAACCTGTGGACCAGATTTAGCCTCTACACATGATCTGTTTGCCCCTCACTGTGATGAGTCAGTGTCTTTTTCCCCAAAAAATTGAGTTTTCACATAAAAATCCCAATTTCTGATGTAACAAAAAACTGCAACACTTGGCTTGTACTCCCAGTATTAACAAGGGTTATATATAGCTAAGGCAGCTGAACCCTTAGACACTGTGTAAACCGTCAGCTCAACACTTAAGAGACAATCCCATTACCTGGCTGGCTCTCGGGGCAGTGGGTTTGTTACCCCTAATTTAGGAATAGGAAAGGCAGCCCAGAAAGGAGAATGAGACAAAGAAGTAAAGATGACTGGGTATGTCATGGTGTGAGAGAAAATGTTGAGATATTTCTAACTAGAACAGTTTTCATGTAGGAAAAGGTTTAGTCCTCATAAACCAATTAGCTGTGCAATGAGGGAAAATTTGTTCCCTAGGCCAAAACATATGGCTGAAACTAACAGAAAAGTCTGGTGATAGGCAGTGCAACCACTTTAATAAATAAACTAAAATTAAACAAATAAAATGTGCATTGCTGATTATGGACCAAGAATGCTAATTCTACATATATAGGGTACTACATAGGGTAACATATTCATTTTCCTTCTATTCATTACCTTCATTTTGGCATACTTTAAAACTAACACAATTTAAATTTTGAAGTTTACATTAAAATACAATTATAAATCTCATATATTAAAAAATATAATTTGTATTGCATAATGACATGTGACTTGCTTTTACTGAACTCCATTATATAGTGCTGGTGGTAGGAGGTACGGCTCACACTTTTTTCCCTCGGCAAGTTTGTACCCCACTTAGTTTAAGATATCACAACTCTCACACTATTATTACTCTGGATTTGGCTCTTCCATTGCCTTTATGATCTTCCACTGTTCATTTCCACAATTAAGCCCCAATTAGCCCATGATATGCAAAGGGGTTCAGAAAAAAAGAGCCCCATCTCAGCCTGGAAATCTGCCCTAACAAAAGGTAAAGAAGTTCTCCTGGATGTTTTTGTTGGGAAGCTACAATTCAAATTTACAAACCATACCCTAATATAAAGAAGGTTAAGAAGTACTACCCCAGTGACTAGTATAAAGAAGGTTAAGAAGTACTACCCCAGTGAGACTACTACATATTCATACAAAGAGCTGCTTTTCAAACCACAGGGTCTTGGCCTGGTCTTCATTAACCCTATTTTCTGTTAAATACCCAGATTAAAAGAATACAGTACTCAGAGCACTCAGCACATAACTAATCCTTTCCTTTTAGTCCAAGTTCAGCAGGTGGTATTTGGCACCACCCAGTGGCAATCTTTTCTTATGTTCACGTAAATAAATAGCAACTTTGCAAACTCTTGATCACAAGAGAGAATACCTCAATTGACAGACACTAGTAAACAAACTGCAAATCAAGTTAAAGCAGTTTCATTTTTAAAAAGCCATCTACTTTTAAAAGTTCAGACCGTTTTAAGATTGTTTTCCTGGCTTCCTGTCCCCTTAAAGATGAATAGCTTAGGTAGTTTAAAAACAACAAAGAATGGCTCACGCCTGTAATCCTAGCACTCTGGGAGGCTGAGGCGGGTGGATTGCTCAAGGTCAGGAGTTGGAAACCAGCCTAAGCAAGAGGAAGACCCTGTCTCTACTATCAATAAAAAGAAATTAATTGGCCAACTAATATATAATAGAAAAAATTAGCCGGGCATGGTGGCGCATGCCTGTAGTCTCAGCTACTCGGGAGGTGGAGGCAGGAGGATCGCTTGAGCCCAGGAGTTTGAGGTTGCTGTGAGCTAGGCTGACGCCATGGCACTCACTCTAGCCTGGGCAACAAAGTGAGATTCTGTCTCAAAAAAAAAAAATAAAAAATAAAAAAAATTCTTCTTTTCTTCTCTAACTGTATACATATACTGGTTTTAAAATAAAATTACCATGTTAGAAGGAAGGGTCCATTTGTAAGGTATAGTAGTGTATTTTTCTTTTCTTTATTTTTTTTGAGACAAATGTGGTGGCATCATCATAGCTCACTGCAATCTCAAACTCCTGGCCTCAAGTGACCCTCTTGCCGCAGCCTTCTGAAGTGCTGGGATTCCAGGTGTGAGCCACTGTGCCTGGCCTGAATTTTTCTTATGAGAAAATAGGAGTGTCATCATCAGTGCTTTAAAGATAATATATGTTTTAACTAACTTGGAAGAAAAGCAAAATTCTAGACATAGAAATGTATTTTCTCAAATTATTCTTTTTTCGAACTGGATTCAGTCCCAGGCTACTGCTTACATCAGTGGTCCCTTCTAGGAAGAGGCTGGAGGGCTTGCATCCCACTGGAAGGGCATGAGGCACCTGTGGCCACAGCAGGGAATTAACAAATGAAGGACCATAACTGCCCCTCAAGAACTGAAGAATTTGTTAAAGTTTGAATATTGGGGAACATAGACCAAGGCTGTGCCCTGATTTTCCATTTCCCAAAGTCATACTTTAAGTTAAAAACTTCCGTTCTGCAAATTTCCATCAATCAAAAGAAAATATAGAACTTAAATCATAGGATCTTCTCAAAAAGAAGAGGAAAAAAACAGTTCTTCCCAGGAGTAGTTTTCTTTTCTTTTCTTTTTTGGTGTCTTAAATGTCAATAATCACAAAAACTTCTGGCTTCTCTTCATTATAGACCTGCATTGCTGAATATGTTATTGCTTTGACTTCTGTTCCCTAAAGTTGGGGTTAGAGAAAAAACAAGTAGGAAAAAAGGACATGGAAGTCAGATTCATTAACTCTAGCAACAACTAGCAGAGAATCAAAATTTTAACATTATTCTGAAAAGCTAAAAACTCACAAAACAAATAGCTATCAAATTAATGCAGTATTATACATTGGTCCAACAGAAATAGGAAGCAATACGTGCACAGTGGAGTTAGGAGTAAAAATTACAATCAACAGAAACTGACTCATCTTGCCACCATCAAATCTAGCATCCTGCTATGTACCTATACATTAGCCTTTTCTCCAGTTACAGTGAGTGCCCAGTCCCTGCTCCTATCAGTCCCTGGCCTTGTTTCCACCTGGAAGTTGTCTGACTTACCTGGGCACCAGATTTTTCATTTATATAGCTAGTTGAATCAAAGAATATAAGCTTTTCTACTGTTTGGCTCAGAGCTCCTTCTCATGCCTAAAACCACCTCCTTATACTGATCTACGGCCTAGGAATTCAACCGATTCTCTTCTTCTCAGCTGCCAATATTCACTTCACCTCTTGGGATTCTTTCCTTTCCAAGTCTAGCTGAAGAGTGAGATATAGTTTCCCAGGTCAAAAGCGCTCCACACGATTCTGATACATGACACTCTACCCCACCCTGCCCTAGTTTAGAACCATAGGATTAGATGTTCTCTTAGGTTCCTTCCAGCTCTAAAAAGAACCTACAATAATTCTGTGCACCACAAAAATGTATCAAGCAGTAGGTGAATGGCATTGGCTAGTTCCATACTTCAGAAATCTGAAGATTTCACAAAAGGATTTGAGTGGCACCATCTTTGCTTTTTCCCCTCTGCCATAATCACCTGGCAAAAGCACAAGGTGAATCAAATTCAATACCATGCTAACTTGTATCACCTTAAATATATGTCCACAGATCTCAACAGGCATTTAGCACTGACCAGTAATCCTGCATTTACCACTAAATTCCCTTTCTCACTCTCTGAGACAATTATTTCACATCTCCTCTAACATTCCTCCCTTAATCTCACCCTCAATCAACCGTGCTTCCTAAAGAAAATTACAATCAACAGAAACTGACTCATCTTGCCACCATCAAATCTAGCATCCTGCTATGTATCTATACATTAGCCTTTTCTCCAGTTACAGTGAGTGCCCTGTCCCTGCTCCTATCAGACAGCCAACTTCTCCAATGGAGCACCCGATCCCACATCTCCACCTACCAACATTTACCAAAGAAGCTGTAGCCCTATCTGTACAACCTTGCCTCCTACTATCCTCCCTTCTCTCTCTCTCAGCATTAGCTTGCAGTTCCTTGAACATAACTCACCTCACTTTGGAGCCTTTACACCTGTTTCTTTTGCCTAAAACGGTTCTCCCATATTTCTGCTCACTCTCATTTCTTTGGCCTGTGCTCAAATGTCATCTCTTTAAATATGCCTTTTCTGACCACGCTTTCCCCTCCTCCAACCATTCTTACCATACCCTGATGGCACTGTTCACTAACTGAAATTATATTATTTGTTTACATGTTTGTCTGGCTTTCTTCTCCTACTAGATTTTGACCTCATTAAGTTAAGAGACCTCATTTGTCCTGTTATGTCTCTACCTAAAGTGCCTTACATTGTAGGCACTTGATAAATACTTGCTGAATGTATGTATGAATTAATGGATGGGTAAGACATAGATTAGTAGAGAGAAGGACAACATTAAAATGAGGAAGATATTATTATACCAGGAACTAGATATTTTAATATGCTATTCATAAAAGTCCTTTTTGCTTTGAAAGGCTATTTGATTATTCATTCAAAAAACAACTAGTAAAACTGGCACACTGGCAAAACTCTAAATGAACAGAAACATGTGACAGATTATTTATTGTTTTGTTTTGTGACATGAAATCAAAGGGGAATTCTGAGTAAAAACAAGAGGAAAAAGTTTTTACTATGTGTTGTGTGTAAAACAGATCTTTTGTTAATATGCATATAATTAATAGTCTAAGATTGTAAGACTTCTTTTACTTTTTATTTTTTCATTTTTTAGAGACGGGGTCATGCTCTGTTGTCCAAACTGGAGTGCTGTGGCACAATCACAGCTCACTGTAGTGTCAAATTTCCTGGACTCAAGTGATCCTCCTACCTCAGCCTCCCAAGTAGCTGGGAATGCATGTGTGCAACACCACGCCTGGATAATTTTCCTTATTTTTTTTGCAGAGATGGACGTCTCACTATGTTGTCCACGTTGGTCTTGAACTTCTGGCCTCAAGCAATCCTTCCACCTTGGCCTCTCAAACTGCTGAGATTATAGGCATGAGCCACCACATCCAGCCAATTTATTTATTTATTTTTAAAATGTAGTTTAAAAAGCAAAAGAAGGCCAGCCATGGCGGCACACACCTGTACTCCCAACTACTTGGGAAGCTGAGATGGGAGGATTGCTTGAACCCAGGAGATGGAGGTTATAGTGAACTATGATAATGCCACTGTACTCCAGCCTGGGTGACAGACCAAGACCCTGTCTCTAAAGAAGAAAAAAAAAATTAATTTTCAATTCCTATGCCTCTCCCTATTGGGCTTTCTTCTTTATGCTTCTCTCCACTGAGGCACTCTTACCAGACTTCATTTCATTATATTATAACTGAAGAAATGATACTGCAGCTACTGGAAGCAACTTGGCTATCCCAGTCACCTACACTAATTTAGGCCTTCTTGGCCTAAATGCAGGAGGTCAGCAAAATATAGCCCACAGGCCAAATCTGGCCTGCTACCTATTTTTGTACAGACTCATAAAATAAGAGTGGGTTTTTTTTATTTTTTAATGGTTGGGGAAAAATATCAAAAGAATAGTATTTCATGACATTTGAAAATAATATGAAATTCAAATTTCAATGTTCATAAATAAAGTTTTACTAGAACACAACATTCATTTATATACTATCTATGGCTGCTTTAGTGCTACAACCAAAGAGTTGAGTAGTTGCTGTTCTATCACTTTTGGTCCACAGATCTTCAAACATTTATTATCTGTCCATTTACAGAAAAAAATTGCCAATCCCTGTTCCAACAGATTTCCCTATAACAGAGTGCAGCCATACAGGTCAGCAAATACAGAATTTAGAGAAGCACAAAAGGTAGAAGGTACTTTAGCAAATATCTAGTCCAACATCTTCATAATGGGAGAAGAAACCAAAGCTCAAAAAGGCAAAGGGACTTTTAAGGCCCACAGCAATCTAAGCAAACCTGACCCCGGAACCCAATGCTAACTTCTAGGCCACCAAATCAGATGTGTAAAATCACAATATTTTAACATAATATATCCCAATGGATCAGAAAAGTTTGAGAAAAATGTATCACTTTACACCAATTATTAGAACTAGCTGAAGTTTACTATCACATATACAGACTTTATGGTAAGGAAGTTTTTAATGTTTTCAAGGGCTGGATTTTAAAACATACCTGAGGGTGCTTGGACAATGAAAATTCTTCTCCCCACCTTGAGAAGGAAAATTAAAACATGATTAAGATTTCCAAGATTTAACACTTTTTCTCCATATGTTTTTAAATAAGCCTTATAAATGTGGTTAAAGCCAAAAGAGATGGAAGGGGTAGGGCGACTATAAGTTTCATTTTGATTTGCCTAAAGATACAGATGTTGAGAGAGTGTGTGCAACAGGCATTGGCTGCTCTAAGGTTTGATAGTTCCTCTCAAAATAAAAGTGCCCCAACATGGTGTGGCCAGGCTGGATTCTCAATAAAATTTTTTTAATAAATACTCTTTCATAACAGAGTAGCATGTTCAAAATTTTACTGTACTCAGAGCTATAAAACTAAATAACCTCTCCCATTGGAGAAAGCAGGTCTGAGTACTACAAAGGCAAAATACTAGATTCTGTAATATGGTCTAAACTTGATTTGCATTTTACAACTTTTCCAAAAATGCTCATGATCTGTATAAAGGCTGCTAGAACTTGGAGTAAGTCTCCTCACTCCCTTTGAGACTAATATGGCTGAAAATCACAACATGGTGTAGTACAAAGAGCAAAGTTTTAAAATTCTGTTCAATCACTTATTAGCTAAATACGTTTGGACAAGTGTGTTTCCTTATTCTTAAAAAATAAAAAAAAAAAATTGGCTGGTCTGATAGTAGTGGGTTATCAGAACTTATTAACATTAGTGTCACTAAAAGTTGGTATTCAACCCCCCACTGCTAAATTTGACTGGCTTAAAAAAAAAAAAAAAAAAGGATGGGGAGATAATAAGAGACTTCACTTTATAAAAAGAAACTAATGAAATTTAATATAAAAGGGGGCCAGGCACAGTGGTGTATGCTTGTATTCCCAGCTATTCAGGAGGTTAAGACAGGAAGATCACTTGAGCCCAGGTATTTGAGGCTATAGTGAGCTATGATTAAGCCTGTGAATACACACTGTATTCTAGCCTGGGCAACATAGCAAGACCCTGTCTCTTAAAGCAAAACAAAACAAAATATAAAATAAAATGGAAAAGATAAGCTATATCTAGAAATAACCTAAAAGATAAAATTAAGTGACTGAAGAAACTTGGGAAACAAGACCAATCAGAATGACCTAATCAAGTGTTTGCAAACTCTGGAAGGAAAAGAAAAGTATAATTTGTTAATAGACGGAACTGGTACTTGCTTCTAAGCCTTTAGGCTAAGATTGAGTATAATGGAAGGAACTGGTTTAAATAAGTAGAGCAGTGAGGATCTATGAGAAAGGATGTGTCAGTGTTTCCCATCTACCAAGCTGGGCTCTATTTAATGCTGTGCCATTTAGCAATTATATTTTGAGAGATATATATATATATATTTTATTCCTAAAAATCAACAAGTTGAGAATCAGGCTTAATAACCACAATCAACTTTATTCTGACAAATTTATAGTCCTTCAAACTTCAGGTGAGCCCTCAATCCCACTCCTAGGTGTCTAACTAAACTTAATCTGCAAAACCCTATTTTGTAGATAGAGTTTAGTAATCTGCTAACTTACATATCTGTCTGTCTTCCTGCCCACTGAGTTCAATGAACGATATAACCTTTCATGATTTGGTATTGAAAAGTTTCCAAACTTACCCAATTGACCGTACTTTGAAATTTCTTTGATCGATATTAAGTACTTTCACTTCCTAAAGAGGAAAAAAAATTTTTTAATTAAAAAAAGTTTTCATAATAGACCATCTATTAAATCATGTCTAGGTTTTTCTAGAAAATAATAGCATACAACTTCGCTGAAGCAAAGACAATTAAAATGTTAAGTAAAAAAAAACTAAATATATTTCAAGGAAATGTTTTTTTCTTACATACTCAAGGGAGGTATTCTTGAAAAATGTACAATCTAAAAACACAAGTCAAAAGAATTTCTCTGAAAGCTATATGATCAAAGAGGAGGACATAGGATTTCAATCACTCACAGCCTGTTTTATATAATATTGTAGGCACTTGAACTCTGTAGGTTGACTAACTCAGTTGGTAGAGTGTATGTAGAGCAGCTGGTAAGGGAGAGAATGGAGAAGTTAAGGAAGCAGGGAGGGTCATCTGTTAGATAACAATGATGTTGGAAAGCTGTTCCCTTCTACAGGTTGACAGCGGCAAGCAATCTCCATTGGCTTTTTCTTTTTTTCAAGTTAAGGAAAACTAAAGGCAGCAACTGATAGAGCTACTACATTTCAAATGAACAAAAGGAACATACGGTTGGACATAAACATAGCTCAAATTTGGGAAACAAAAAGTGTGGATGAAGACTGCAGGTGCATCCTTATCACATAAGTCTGATTAGTAATTAGTACATGGACTGGGAGTGGTGGCTCACATCTGTAATCCTAGCACTCTGGGAGGCCGAGGCAGGCTGATCGCTCAAGGTCAGGAGTTTGAAACCAGCCAGAGCAAGAGCGAGACCCCGTTTCTCCTAAAAATAGAAAGAAATTAATTGGCCAACTAAAAATATATATATACAAAAATTAACCGGGCATGGTGGTGCATGCCTGTAGTCCCAGCTACTCAGGAGGCTGAGGCAGGAGGATTGCCTGAGCCCAGAATTTGAGGTTGCTGTGAGGTAGGCTAATGCCACGGCACCCTAGCCCAGGCAAAATAGTGAGACTGTCTCAAAAAAAAAAAAGTACATGATCAGAGATCTAAATACAAAATGCTTACATTAACACATAGTTATGGTCCGGTTAACCAGGAAGTGCCTGTGGTCATTATAATTTCTACAAATAAATATCTTACATATCTGTACGGTTTGGTTTTTGCATCACATGTTCTATTTTAAAGCATGAACTAAGAACCCATTTGCTCAGTAAAAAGAAAAACCTTTGCTTACCCGGGGTATGAAGAATTCATCAGCACTGAACTTATAAAGCCATTCATCCAAAAAGTGAAACAGAAGAGACTGTAAGTCATCTCCTACACAGGATCAAAAAAAGCCATAGCAGTATGTTGTTTAATAATCTGGTCTCAAAAACTTATTTAAATTTAAAAGTGCAATGGATTTCTTAGGCTAGTTGAAAGAGGAAGAACAGGCTCATGATCAATTTTGTTATACTTAATGTGAAAATATACTCAGATTATGTAGAATACTGCACATTTATATAACAATTTCTTTCTTGTGAATAAATGCGTTACCTTGAGTTTCCACTTCTACTGTTTGGAGGGGCTCCACAGTCCCAGTATCTGTCATGTAACCAAACATGGCCATTGCACATTGCTCAAATGCTTCCTCCAAAGTATCTCCCCATGCATGTAACCTAAAGAAACATATTCATGCTATGTGTAATATAATCCATAACAAGGAAGAAAACTTGACAGCAAAGTCAAAATAAAATCAGTATGAGGCTGGGTGCAGGGATTCATGCCTGTAATCCTAGCACTAACTCGGAGGCTAACTGGGAAGGATTGTTTGAGGCTAGGCAATTGAGATCAGTCTGGACAACATAGTGAGATCCTCTCTCTAAAAAAATGAAAAAAATTAGCCAGCCATGGTGGCACAGTTCTATAGTCCTGGCTACTCAGGACGCTGAAGCAGGAAGATTATTTGAGCCCAGGAGTTTGATCACATCACTGCACTCTAGCCTGGGTGACAGAGCAAGACTCTGTCTCTAAAAATAAACAAAAATTTAAAAAATAAAATCGGCTGGGCGTGGTGGCTCATGCCTGTAATCCTAGCACTCTGGGAGGCCGAGGCGGGCGGATTGCCCGAGGTTGGGAGTTCGAAACCATCCTGAGCGAGACCCCGTCTCTACTAAAAAAAAAAATAAAAAAATAAAAAAAAATAAAATCAATATGATAAATACACAACTAAATCAGTGCCTCAATCAATTTAATGGCACTGATATTGGCTGCTCTTAAACCATCATTTTCATGTTGTGAAGGAATCAAAATTAGAGGAGAAAAATTAAAACAGGGGCCACCAAGATCAAAATATTCAGCTTTCCTATATAAAGACACAGTTTCAAGGTAACAAACTCTAGCTATACTCACTGAACATCCGCTGTATGATCCAAATCTGAGAGAGAAAGGGAAAAGCGCTTATAAGTCACTAAACTTGACTCTCACATCACAAGAAAATAGCTTTAGTTTATTATTATTAAGAACATCATCCTTGGAGACCAAGAGAATATGGGGAAGCCCATACCTTTTCCTATTCGTTGACTCAACAAAGATAATTACTTGTTAGGGTAATTTTTTTTTAATTTTATTTTATTTTTAGTAGAGACAGGGTCTTGCTCTTGCTCAGGCTGGTTTCAAACTCCTGAGCTCAAAGCATCCTCCCACCTTGGCCTTCCAGAGTGCTAGGATTATAGGTATGAGCCACCTGGCTTGACCCAAGGGTAATTTTTTTAAAAGCCAAGGTTTATATTTAAATGAATTATACTTGCTGGAAGACAACAGGGCCAAGGTCTTTTAGGTCTGTGGTCCCTGACACCCCCAACCCCTGCCTGTTAGGAATCTGCCTATTAGGAACTGGGCAACACAGCAGCAGGCAAGCAAACCACGCCTTACCTCCGCCTCCTGTCAGATAATTGGCTGCATTAGATTCTGCATTATTGTGAGTTGTATAATTATTTCATCATATATTACAATGTAATAATAACAGAAATAAAGTGCATAATAAATGTAATGTGCTTGAATCATCCTAAAACCATCCCCCACCCACTCCGTGGAAAAACTCTCTTCCAAGAAACCGGTCCCGGTACAAAAAGGCCAAGACTACTGTTCTAGGTGATCTAAAAAGCATCTTATAGACCAGGCGAGAGGTGGTTCACGCCTATAATCCTAGGCCAAGGCAGGCAGATTGCTAGAGGTCAGGAATTCGAAACTACTCTGAGCAAGAGCGAGATCCCATCTCTACTATAAATAGAAAGAAATTAATTGGCCAGCTAATATATATAGAAAAAATCAGCCAGGCATGGTGGCATATGCCTGTAGTCCCAGCTACTTGGGAGGCTGAGGCAGTAGGATTGCTTGAGCCCAGGAGTTTGAGGTTGCTGTGAGCTAGGCTGACGCCACAGCACTCACTCTAGCCTGGGCAACAAAGCGAGACTCTGTCTCAAAAAAAAAAAAGTGTTTTATATATTATAATTTCTCAATAAACAAATGTCATTTCCTGCTATTAGATACTTTTTCTCAATAAATAAATCAGTATCTTTTCTAAATATCTACAGCGTAAATGATCAAAATTCTAGCAATTATATTATCATCAAAGACATAAAACTTCAGGCCGGGGCTGGGTGCGGTGGCTCATGCCTGTAATCCTAGCACTCTGTGAGGCCGAGGCCGGTGGATCACTCAAGGTCAGGAGTTTGAAACCAGCCTGAGCTGGTCTAGTGAGACCCCGTCTATACTAGAAAAATAGAAAGAAATTAATTCGCCAACTAAAAATATATAGAAAAAATTAGCCGGGCATGGTGGTGCATGCCTATAGTCCCAGCTACTTGGGAGGCTGAGGCAGGAGGATCACTTGAGCCCAGGAGTTTGAGGTTGCTGTGAGGTAGGCTGATGCCACGGCACTCTAGCCCGGGCAACAGAGTGAGACTCTGTCTCAAAAAAAAAAGAGATATAAAACTCCAGTTTTCTCTGTTTTACCTTTTCATGAACAAGTAACCTAACCCTAGATAAAATTGTTTTGGAAAGTAAACTCCGCAATATATATCATTAGCTTTTTTCTGACATTTCCACAGGAACACCAGAAAGTAACAATGGCTACTATAGCATGCTCCCATTGAATCTGTTATCCTAACTTTTTTGGAATCTCATCTTCACCCGTATCATAACTCCCATCAATTCTTCCCACTTAGGATCATAGAATATTAGGGCTAGAAGGAATTCTTAGACATCATTTCATATAATTCCTTTACTTATGAGAGGAAACCCGAAATCCAAAGAGATTGTGTGACTTGTTCAGGACTACTTACTCTGTTGCTTAGAGGCAGAGTTGGGACTAGAATTGAGGTTTTCTGACCCTCAGTTTAGTGCACTGTGCACTATGACACATTTTCTGGTGGCATTTAAGGTTTGAATTCATCTGTAATTCACTGAGAAATATTACTAAGAATTAAGTTTTAGGCACTCAGGGGCTCAATGCCAGCAGAAATCACAAACTGAAAAAAAGACAGGTATTAACATTAGAGAAATGAAAATGTGCTGACAAAAAGACATATAAGAATATTCACAATGTTATTTCCAAAAATTAAAAACTTGGTGTCCATCAATAAGAGAACAGATAAACTGAAGTATAATCATATAATGGAATACTACTCAGCAGTAAAAAAAAAAAGCATGAACTACTACTGATACATGCATTAACATGGATCTCAAAAGTTGAGTGAAAACTGCAGAACTCTCAGTACCTAACGACTCCATCAAAATCACCACACTAGACCAAAATCTAGCATGGCTTCTAGCAGCATAAGGCTGAGTCCCTTACATGACCATAATCACCCTCTCCTATACCCACCCCCATTAAAATGCCAGCATGAGAAAGTGCAACATAGTCAGGAGAATTTATTGTTTGTCCTAGCCAACACCTGACATAGGCCCCTGACCTCTTTCTTACAGCATGTACTAAAAAGAGCTTACAATTGCAAATATGTATCTCTTACAACTCAGCAGTGTCTTTCTCAAGGACCTGAGAGCCATTTCTTTGAAATGTTATCATCGGGAAGGACGCAGCCTCTGTGTCTCAGTCTCTGTGGGAGGTCAGAATCCTAACTTGGCTAACTGTCAGCTATCAGACACAGCTAGCCTAATCACATTTACACTGACCAACCCTTTGTACTTTTTCAGCTCTCTGACTCACTGAACTCCCACTCTCTCCCCTCCCTCATTCTCCCTTTAAAATGGCCAGTCATCTTTGTACAAATCAGAATTGAGCTCAGCTCTTTCCCCTATGGTCAGTAGTTAATGAAAACAACTTGTATTCATGGCCTTGACTAACATCCAACTGTGTTTACCTTTGACATGAGTGAAGAAGCCAGACATAGAAGAATCTATAATGTATGGTTCCATTTTTATTAAACTCTAAATAAAACGGGCAAAATTAAGCTATGGTGATTGAAAACACAACAGTGTTTGCCTCAAGGTAAGGGGGTGGAGGACTGGAAAGGAACACAAGGGAACTCTCTAAGGTGATGGAAATATTCTTTTTTTTGGAGAGGGAATCTTGCTCTGTCATCCCAGTCAGAGTGCAGTGGTGTCATCATAGCTCAGTAATGTTATCACAGTTCACTGCAACCTCAAACTCCTGGGCTCAAGGGATCCTCCTGCTTCAGTCTCCCATGTAGGCTGGACTCAGCACATTGCTGTACTCCGCATGCCCGGGGCTAATTTTGCTCTCATATCTGTAGGGGTGGGTCTGCTTCCTGAACAGGCTGGTCGTGGAACTCCTACCTCAAGCCATTCAATGTGTGTGGCCTTCCAAGTGCATAGGATTACCGGTGATGAGCTATGTGGCAGCCTGGGTTCCCTTTTATTGTTGTTCTTTTGTTGTTCTCTTTTTTTTTTTGAGACAGCATGTCTCTACTGGTTGGCCAGGCTTAGAGTATTTTCCATGGCGTCAGCCTACTCCACCGTCAACTCCTGTCAAGAGTAATCATTCCTTGTCTGCTCGCCATCAGCCTCCAGTAGCGGTCGACTACGGCATTCGCCACGGGTCATTTGCTCGGTAATTTTCTGTCAAGTGGACCTCTACTGATTATCATGGTAGTTGGCAAAGTGTTGTTGCCTATTTATTTAGTAGAGGACGGCGTCTCGTCGGTTGCTCAGGTGGTTAGTGAATCTGTCCTCTGCCCGCAGCACCGCCCACCTCAAGCTCCAGAGACTAGGTTACAGGCGGTGTACACCGCGCCCGGCCCTTCTTTTTTCTTGACGCCCCGCCTCCCTTCTAGAATGTTCAACTCTCTCTCTCGCGTCCTCGCTCCCTGTGCCAGATTTATTGATCTATTTATCAAATCTTGGACTTATTCACTTTTAGGATCTGAGGACTTTGCTCAGGTATAATAAAGTCTGAATATGTATACTTCAATTTTAGTAATAAATCTTTAAAAAGGACAGCCTGACCTGCCAATGTAGGCGTAGTCGTTAACTATAAATATTATATGTGTCCAGAATCTTTATATTTAGCACGCTACGTCTCACTAGTTGTCCAGCTTTAGAGTGTAGTTGCATGGCGTCACCTAGCTCACAGCAACATCAAAATCCTGGGATCAAGCGATCCTCTGCCTCAGGGCTCTGGTGGAGTGTGGACTACAGGCATGTCCACATGCACTGGCTGATTTTTTCTATATGTATTAGTTGGCATTAATTCTTCTATTTAAGTAGAGACGGGGGTCTTGCCTCTTGCTCAGGGCTGGTTTCGACTCCTGACCTCGAGCAATCCGCCCACCTCGCCTCCCAGAGTGCTAGGATTACAGGCATGAGCCACCACGCCGGGGCTTATGGAACTCTTTTACCTTCTTAAAAATATTTAGATCCCAAGAGCGTTGTTTTGTTTTTTTTGTTGGAAGACAGAGTCTCGTCTTTGTTGCCCAGGCTAGAGTGAGTGTTGGGTGCACGTGGCGTCAGCCTGGCTCAAGCACCTCAACTCCTGCGGGCTCGCAGGTCGGTCCTTCTGGGCCTCAAGCCTCCGGGTAGCTGCGGAACTACAGGCGAGGCGCCACTTCATGCCGCTAATTTTTATTAATGATGGGATAGTATATCAGATTGGCAAGTTCAGTTAATTACTATGTCATGAACTTAAAAAGGTCCTTCATGTTAGAGACGGTCCTCGCTCTTGCTTCAGGCTGGTTTTGCAATCCTGACTCTGAGCCAAATTCCGGCCCGCCTTCGCCTCCTAGAGTAGAATTTACAGGCGGGGTGAGCCACAAGCGCCCGGCCTCAATAGAGTTTTTTTATTGGTGTTTTATTGACTACTGATCGAATATTTATATCCACATTGGAATTTTACTGAAAAAGATTTTAATATACTTTTAATTCTTTAAAAATAGCAATAAACCCATTTTATAACATATGCATAATTTGGGTTTCATTCTATATTTATAATAATTGTTTTGTGTTTTTGTTTTTTCGAGACGAAGTCTCACTTTGTTTTGCCAGCTAGATGTTGTCCCCTGGCGTCAGCCTGGCTACAGCCAACCTCATCTCGGGGCGTCAGGCGATCCTACTGCCTCAGCTCCGGAGTAGCTGTGACTAGAGGCATGTGCGCACATGCCGGGCTAATTTTCTAAATATCATATCAGTTGCCAATTAATTTCTTTCTATTTATAGTGAACGGTGGTCTCGTCTTGCTTCAGCTGGTTTTGAACTTCCTGACTTGAGCAATTCCACTCCGCCTCCGGCCTCCAGAGAGGCTAGGAACAGCGTGGAGCCATCTACGCCTCTTATGTCGGCCAATTTTCAATATGAGTAGATATATATATTTTAGGTTGGTCAATTAATTTGATTTCTATTTTTGTAGATGATGTGCTATGGTGGTTCCGCTCAGGCTTGGTTTCAACTTCTGACGTTGAGCAATTGCACTGCCTCGGGCCTCCTCAAAGGTGCTGGGAAGAGTGTTACAGCGTGGAGACAACGCCGGCCTTTATTTTTATTACTTTTTAAGAGACAGGGTCTCTCATGTTGCCTGGTTTGGAATGCGGTGACTATTCACAGGTGCCACCTTCGCACACTACAGCTTTACACTCCTGGGATCAAGTGCCACCATTGTGCGTTGCCTTGCATATTTTTATGAAAAACAACTATTTTGTCATAAAATTTAGCAAAGAATGGCAGTTTTGCATTTTTAAAAAATATTTTTAGTGTCTGACTTTCAATGTGTTGCAATATATTCATTTAGTGTAAGTGCATAAATAAAATCCAACCTCATAGAGATGCAGGAGGAAAAGAGGAGAATATTTTAATAGCTTTTCAAGTACTTGTGAATAGTCTTGGATGTTTTACCAACAATCAAAATGTGGCAGTTTTTAAAAGATTAGTTGCGATGTGGAATCTGAAGTCATAACAATGAATTTTTCATACTCTGTAAAATTAAAATCCATTGATCTATTGTACATTTAGAATGACTCTTATCCATGTCTGAGTGTGTAACATCAAGCATTGGAAAATATTAGCCTACTGAGTCATACAGATAATGTTGACATATGTAACTACATAGAATTTTTTAAAAAGCATATTTGTTAATATCACCACCAATCTCATCAGAAAAGTCTTTAAATACTGTGAAGCTGTCATAATGGCAGATATAAGTTTTCCAAAATTCTAATTTCACCTGAAAGCCTGAATTTTATCATTACCAACAAATACTGTCAGTTATTTTCCTTGATGTGACAGATCACTTTGTTCATTTTCAAGAAAATATCTGCCAAATACCCAAGTCAGAATAACAATAGTATGTCTTTCATTCTTTCAATAAAAAAATGGTATTTCATAAAAAAAGCACTTAGTTCAGCTCACAACTCAATTACACAAGTTCTTTCCCTTGTGTAATCAATACTTTGACAAGCAGGCGAAACACTATATATACTTCCCATTTTGTTACACAGAATATTAAAAAGGTATTACTCAGAGTATTAAAAAGTTAAGATTTAATAAAATTGTTTTTACTGATTCATCAAGGACATTCTTAAGTGAAATGACTTTTCTTTTTTAATTTTTTTCCCCTCCTACTCCCCTTTTTTAGTTTTAAGTACATGGTGATGAATACAATGACCACGAATATAGTTTGGTACTACTGCCTCAATTTGTGCTAAGGAGCCAGGAGTTTTACTCACCATTGCTTTTTCACCATAAGTGCAAATATCGAGTAAAAAAAAATTAACATCTCAGTATTATTCTGAAAATAGTTTTGACATCACAGGCTCTCCAAAAGGGTCTGAGGGACACCCCAGGAGTCCGCAGACCATACTTTGAGAATTGCTACTGTACTAGTTACACAGATATACTCAGTTTCTGAAAATGCACTTATGTACTATTTTATGTGTACATTATATCAATAAAAGCTTTATTTTCTAATACATAGAAGAAAACATGGGAGAATTTTTTTTTTGAGAGAGGCAAATGCCACCACGACCAGCTAATTTAAAAAAATTTTTTGTGGAGATGGAGTCTCGCTATCTTGCCCAGGCTGGTCTGGAACTCCTGGCCTGAAGCATTCCTCCTTCCGCCAACTCACCTCCCACAGTGCTAGGATTGATTACAAGTGTGAGCCACCACACCTGGCAGTGGAGAATTATTTTACAATCTCAAAGTAGGCAAGGCATTCCTAAGTATGGCATTTTAGAAGCCATAAAAAGAAAGGGTTAATAAATTTCACTACATAAAAATACTTTCTGCATAGCAAAAAAGACCAACAATTCAAGAGAAAAAAGGATTAAGAATATTAACATACACACCCCAGAAGGGGAAATACAAATAGCTCCCAAAATACTACAACATGTTCAACTTCACTTATAATAAAAATAATGTAAGTATACTTTACAAATTGGAAAAGACCAAAAAGTATGGTAACAAGTAAATTATAGTAAGTGTGTGGAAAGAATCACATTCATACAATACTCATGAAAGTAGTGCAGGTACAACCTCTGTAGAGAGGAATTTGGCAATAACTGCCAAAGTTAAAAACGCACATAACCTTTAAAAAAAGCCATAGGACTCTTAGCAGTGGAAACAAAAGAATGCACATATCCTTTGACGAAGCAATTTAAACTTTGAGAAATTTATTCTACAGTTACACCTGCACATGTGCAAAACAATGGATGTACAAATACATTCACTACTGCATTATTTCTAAGAGCAAAAGAATAGAAATATCCTAATATCATCAACCGGAAATTGGTTAAATAAATTAAAGTAAATGGCAGCCCGGGCGCGGTGGCTCACGCCTGTAATCCTAACACTCTGGGAGGCCAAGGCGGGCGGATTGCTCCAGGTCAGGAGTTCAAATCCAGCCTGAGCAAGAGTGAGACCCATCTCTACTATAAATAGAAAGAAATTAATTGGCCAACTAATATATACAGAAAGAAATTAGCTAGGCATGGTGGCACATGCCTATTAGTCCCAGCTACTCGGGAGGCTGAAGCAGCAAGATAGCCTGAGTCTAGGAGTTTGAGGTTGCTGTGAGCTTGGCTGACTCCACAGCACTCACTCTAGCCTGGGCAACAAAGTGAGACTGTCTCAAAAAAAATAAAATAAAGTGGCAGAATATTTGTGCATGTACACATAAGAAAAAGGAAACAGGCCGGGCGCTGTGGCTCACGCCTGTAATCCTAGCTCTTGGGAGGCCGAGGCGGGTGGATTGCTCAAGGTCAGGAGTTCGAAACCAGCCTGAGCAAGAGCAAGGACCCTCTCTATATAATAGAAAGAAATTAATGGCAACTAATATTATAGAAAAAATTAGCAGGCATGGTGGCGCATGCCTGTAGTCCAGCTACTCAGGAGGCTGAGGCAGAAGGATCACTCGAGCCCAGGAGTTTGAGGTTGCTGTGAGCTAGGCTGACGCCACGGCACTCACTCTAGCCTGGACAACAAAGTGAGACTCTGTCTCAAAAAAAAAAAAAAAAAAAAAAGAAAAGGAAACAATCATTGCTCTAGAGAGGGCGACTATGTAGCTGGGATCAGAGCTGCAAGACTTCACTGCATACCTGTTAATACTTTCTGAATTTTGAACCAATATATATGATCTATTAAAAATACTATTTTAAAATTATTTTCAAGTGAGAGAAAGATACATGATAGGGAGATACGCTGGGTTCGGAAAGCACAGAACATAGAATGCTATGGTAAATAGTTGGACTTTATACTGAGGGCAACAAGAAATTAAAGATTTTAAGCAGAGCAATAAGAGATTTGTTCTCCCCAAAACACGGCCACTTCTAGGGATGATAGCTTATCGTTTAATACAGAATTTAAAGAATTTAAGAATCTGCACTACACATACATATATATTTCTCAGATGAAGGAACTGACAATGCAAAGACAGGTCATGTGATTTACCCACTCACTAAGCTAATAGGAGGCAAAAACAGATGTTTTTACTATCACACGATCATAGTAAAACAATTTAGAAACCCCTGCTTAGCTTTTCGAGTCCTTTAACATTGCCGCACCCTAACCATCCACCCGGTGGGACATAGGTTGGGGTGACAACACCCCAAACGCTTAAAAACAATTATCTTTAGAATTCGTGCACTCGTAGAATTCTCAAAAATAAATGTGATCAGCCACATGTGAAAGTTCAAGAGACTGTAAATGTGGGACCCCAGTTTTCCCGACTGTCAAACCAGGTGGTTTTTCCCCTCAGCATCTCTAGGACAAGTACAAGAGACTACAATACAAGGCGCAATAGGATCTGAAGCACCTATGGCGTGCCTAAGGCGCAGCCGGAAGCCGCGGGTAAGAAGAGGGCATGGCTGTGTGCCCATATCTGAAGAGAGGAAAGCCACCTACTCACATTCGTACTTCTTATTGACTGGCGGATACTTGGCCTTGATCGCCTTCTGCTCCTCGGTCAAATTGTAGTCTCTAACATCTGCCTCTTCCAGCGCCATGATTGCACGATTAGACATTCTACTTCCGCCCTTCATCTGTCGGCCTTCGGCAATGTTACAACTTCCGCTCTAGGCCCCGCCCCTTGGCACGCACCCTTAAAGAACCAAGATGCCATTCTCGAGCTCACGGATGTAGTTTAGCTCCTAAGATTTCCATCCTAGACCCTGCCACTGGGATCGCATGTTTAAAGGGCCAAAACCACATCATCTGTGCTCGTTTCAGCACTAGTTCTCTCTAAAGACTAAGGAAACAAGTTGAAGGGCACATTGAGTTAAACACCTCTAGGCAGGAGAGTTGATAATTAGACTTGAAGGCACCCCACATTTCTCATTTCAATACTTAAAAGAGTTGTAAGCTTAACAGCCTTTAAGAAAATGGCTGCCCCCAGAAGTGTGCGAGCTAAATCTCTCTCACGTGACGCAGGAAGGCGCAATCCCATCATCCCCCACGCGCGCAACCGATGGAAGTCGCCTCTGGGAGGTGTTGGGGGAGGAGCGGAGCGCTTGCCTTGGGCCCCGCGGAAAGCGACTCCGCGCGTCTAGATAGGCCACGAACACGGCCTCCCCGCCCACTCTGCCGTTCGCTGCGCTCCAATTGGCTGATGTTGGCGCGAAGGTGAGCGAGTTGGCCCTCACGCAGGGGCCGCAGGAAACAATAGAGGCCGCGCGCGCGGAGCGAGCGCCCGTACCCTCCCCGCCCCTCCCGCAACGCTCGATCCCGGGATCTCCCCCGGTTCGCCTGCCCGCCATGGCCGACAAGGAAGGTGAGTGTGCCGGGGCCGCCCTAGAAGGAAGGGGGATGCCGGGACCGTGCCGCGGCCTCGACACGGCCTAACAGTGAGGGCAGGCCCGACTTTGCTGAGTGCAGTTCGCAGCATCGCTGCCGTGAGGAGGGAGCTCCCTGCGGGGCGGGCTAACGGCGCGCCAGCTCCCCTGGAGCGATGTCTGTCATCGCGGGCGGTGGGGCCCCGGCGGGTGTTTGCTCCTCCTCAAGCTCCCTGTGGATCTCTCCTCTCTCCCGGCCTCCGTGCTCCGCTTCCTACCCCTAGGGCTCGGTGCCCGGGCCTCCTCTGGTCCTGTGGGCTTTCTGCGTGCGCGCGCGCCCCAGAGGCCCGGCGCCGTGGCCCGAACGGGTAACGGGAGTGTCTGGTTGGGATGACCCGAGGAGTTCCGGCCGCCGAAGCTGGAGAGGAGTGTTGGTGCCTCCGCCTAGGGAGATTAGACAAATCTCCTCCATTTCAGAGTCATGCGGGTAGCTTTGGAGAGGTTTACTCGGTTTCTGTTTGCTAACTTAATTTGTTTTAAAACATTTTAGCAGCCTTTGACGACGCAGTGGAAGAACGTGTAATCAACGAGGAGTACAAAATATGGAAAAAGAACACCCCTTTTCTTTATGATTTGGTGATGACCCATGCTCTGGAGTGGCCCAGCTTAACTGCACAGTGGCTTCCAGATGTAACCAGGTGACAATCTTCTGAACATCATTTTGATGTGTTTCAGTGTAGATTTCTCACATTGATTTTTTTCTGTTTTTCTCTTTTTGGTCACTTGGCAAGGACACGTGATCAAAACCTATCGGTGACTTTTTTTAATAAGCAAAAAAAGTAGAGCAAAATGTAAAATTATTGTATAACTTACCTGACAAGAGAAAACCTATTGGCTTTTTTTCCCTCTGATACCGACTTGAATAGCCATATTACAACTATAGTTGACCAAATAATAATATGAAACTTGTCAACTTTTAAAAAGTATTATGGGCAGGGCAGGATGGCTTACACCTGTAATCCTAGTGCTTTGGGAGGCTAAGGTGGAAGGGTCGCTTGAGCAAGCCCAGGAGTTTGAGGCCAGGCTGGGTAATATAGCAAGACCCCACTCCAACATCCTGGCTTCATCAGGGAAAAAAAAGAGAGAATAAACAATCTAATAATAAAATATTAAAAATTTAAAAAGACCCCATCTCTACCAAAAATAAATAAAAATTAACCTGGTGTGGTGGTGCATGCCTATAGTCTCAGCTACCCCAGAGGCCAAAGTGGGAGGATCACTAGAGCCCAGCAGTTTGAGGTTTCAGTGAGCTATGATCCTGCCGTTGCACTCTAGCCTGGACAGCAGAGCTAGACTCTTGTCGCCAGAAAGAGTATTATGATGAGTCTGGTTCTTTAAACAAAACATTTGAATTCTCAAAGTCTTTAGTAGTACCTAATTAATACAAAGATGAATATGTCATGGGACCTTCCTTCAAGGAGCACATTGTCTAGTTGAGGCATAAACTGATGATTACAATTATATGTTATGAAAGCAGTTATAGAAAGATAATTAGGGGACTTAGAAAATACCTGAAGGTGGAGTAGTTTCATATAAGGGAGTTGGGCAGAGTGAGGCTTATAAAGATTAATCACATACACATATATGGAAGTTGCTTACCTCTACTAGAGGGATAAAATAATTACCATAAAAGTGGCACAGATAAAATTACCACAGGAGGCCGGGCACGGTGGCTCACACCTGTAATCCTAGCTCTCTGGGAGGCCGAGGAGGGCAGATTGCTCGAGGTCAGGAGTTCAAAACCAGCCTGAGCAAGAGCAAGACCCCGTCTCTACTATAAATAGAAAGAAATTAATTGGCCAACTGATATATATATATATGTAAAAAATTAGCCAGGCATGGTGGCACATGCCTGTAGTCCCAGCTACTTGGGAGGCTGAGGCAGTAGGATCGCTTGAGCCCAGGAGTTTGAGGTTGCTGTGAGCTAGGCTGATGCCACGGCACTCACTCTAGCCTGGACAACAAAGTGAGACTCTGTCTCAAAAAAAAAAAAAATTACCACAGGAAAATTTACCTCAACTTGGAAAGTCTTCCAGGAGGAAATGACAATGCAGAGATGAAGTAGATAATAATATAAAGTTTCATCAAATCCTGTGTGCCTGTTGGGATAATGGATTTTCTATTATAAAATTGCCTCACTTTTCAGAATAACATTCAAAAATTATATTGTGTACTAAATAACTAAATTCCTTCAAAACTCAAATCTTTAGAAGTCAGGATATTTGCAAAATGTGGTTATTAGCCTATGATGCAGCTCAACAAGTAATAGAAATTTAACATAAGTTTTACTGATAATTTAACAGTGAGGCTGCTGTCATTACAGTGCTTTAAGAAAAAATGGTGAACTCTGTCTTAAAGGATATGATACAAAACTATAGTAAATACCTAGAAATTTAGACTTGGATTTTTTTTTTTCTTTTTTTGAGACAGAGTCTCACTCTGTTGCGAGGGCTAGAGTGCTGTGGCATCAGCCTAGCTCACAACAACCTCAAACTCCTGGGCTCAAGCAATCCTCCTGCCTTAGCCTCCCAAGTAGCTGGGACTACAGGCATGTGCCACCACACCTGGCTAATTTTTTTTCTATGTATTTTTAATTGGCCAATTAATTTCTTTCTATTTTTAGTAGAGATGGGGTCTTGCTCTTGCTCAGGCTGGTTTCGATCTCCTGACCTCGAGCAATCCACCCACCTTGGCCTCCCAGAGTGCTAGGATTACAGGCATGAGCCACTGCGCCCAGCCTTGGAAGCCTCTTTATTGTGACCAGGAGTTCTACATTCATCCGATCATCAGAATTACTTTGGGAGTTCAGGATAATTGGAGTCATTTTTGTCAATGATAGTTCAAACCACTTAGCTGTGGCAGAGTAATTGATGAGAAATAGTGAATTCTGATTCCAGATTTACTAGTCATATGCAAAATAATGCATCTTGGACCAGTGAATCCTAAATATTATCCACCTCATACCTACTAAATCATTCTGAAACCTATACTTTTATTTTACTTATTTATTTTTTTGCTACAAGGTCTTCCTCTGTCACCTGGCCAGAGTGCTATGGTGTCAGCTTAGCTCACAACAACCTCATACTCCTGGGCTAGCAATCTGCTCCTCAGCCTCCAAGTAGCTGGGACTATAGGCATGTGCCACCATCCCCAGCTGATTTTTTCTATATATACTCCAATTAATTTCTTTCTATTTTTAGTAGAGATGGGGGTCTCGCTCTTGCTCAGGCTGGTTTCGAACTCCTGACCTTGAGCAATCCACCTGCCTTGGCCTCCCTGAGTGCTAGGATTACAGACAGGGGTGAGCTACCTCGCCCAGCCAGGAACCTATACTTTTAAAAAGCTTTCCAGATAATGTAATGATTAGCTAGGTTTGGAAAGCAAGAATCAGACTAAATTTCCTAAGGCTGCAATTTGCACTATCTTAGTAGCTTTCTGTTTTAGCAGAGCTAGGTAAATTAAGGTGGGGAATTTTTTGTATTTAAGAGGATTACTTATAAGCAAGCAGCCTTAATGCAAAATCTACTTTTGGTGGTCTGTGCACTTTTTCTGTTATTTATTCATTCATTCTCCTTTTTTTTTTAATACTTTAATTCTATTTGTAACACTTTTTCCTTACTCTTCCTGTTTCTTTGTCTAACTTTCTAAGCGCAGGCAATTCCAATTTCTTTTCACATCCCTCTTTTCATTCCTCTGTCCTTTCTCTATGTAGGTAGATGTTCTCAAGCTTTGGTTATCACATATGTGCAGAGTAGTCATTATTGGTCATTCGTCTAGTACCAATGTCCTACTCTTTTATTCAAGCCTATCTGCTTGGGGTTTTTCTCGTGGTATGGTATGGCTCATTGCTTTCCCCAATTCCTAAATTAGGTGAAATTTTTAATTCATTTTATTATTAGATGTTTATTCTCCCTCGCCCCCCCCCCTCCCCCCCTTTTTCTCCCCCTACTTCCGCGTTGTCGTGTTTTTTAATTCCCTACTTCATTGCTTATAACATATCTTTCTCATTTTTATATCTTCGCAGAAACTGGTTTAATTTCCATATAT